TTCTTTTGTGAATAGAACTCTTTTGGTTTGGTTTGAGTGGTGTCAAAGTCCCATGAACTATGAAGTATGAGCGTTTTAGCATTGATGGTACCCGTTAAAGGGAAAATGACCAAATTTGGATGCCTAAAAAATATAGTAGATTTTGTCAGATGAGACTGAAAGTCTTAGAGTATACTAAACAGAAATAGAGCTTCAATTTTGTATTGTGCCAACTTTTTTGTACGAATTCTTCCTAATGAGATATACTGATTGAAGTACAGGGCAGCGCATTACTACCAGGAATCAAGTTTGTACTTGCATAAAACTTGAGTAAAGCAATGTACCAGGCTCAAATTTGGAATGCAAAATTTTCTATGATTCAGCAGTAAACTGACCAAGTTTCGAATTATTTGATCAAACTTAAACTGAGTTATCGTTTGTCAAAGTTGTTTTTTTTAAATGAAAATCACAACGGCATCTTCGAACAATCATAAAAACACCTGAACTTGAGAAATCGCTATCAAAATTTCAGTAGCTTTGAATCAAACGTAAAATCATATTTCTGCCAATGTTCGTGCTTCAAAGCTACCCATGTCTGAAGATATACCCGTATTCAAAAGTCACAGGGTAATTGTGCGCCACCCTGTATGCTATGGGGAGGGGCTAATTTTGACAAGCGATAACTCAACTCAAAGTAGATCAAATAGTTTGAAATTTTACTTATGCGTTATTTGATTTTTGAGCCCAGAACGACGATTTGTTAGAATTTTATACTAACTTTGTTCAGGGTAATCATTCGCCACCTCGTAAGCACTACAGTACTCTACGCTCTATACGCTCCATTTCAAATCCCTTCGCTCCTTTCCCTAAATTTTCAAACTTAGCACATCTTTTTGGCTTCAAAAAAAAGAAGGAGCGAAGACAAAGCGAAATACACAACACCACAAAATCGGTTTGATTCATAACGGGCGGACAGCTCCTTTCCCCCTCGCTTCATTTTTTCCGTTTTCCAATTCGAACGATGTCGGCATATGTAGTCGTCATGACGAAACCAATTCTGCTAAATTCAAGGGATACGGTGAGGCCAAGTGACGTGGACCTTTTCGCTTCTCTCGATTTTTTCACAACTTTGGGCTTCGGAATCCCGAGATAGACGGGAAGGGAAAAAAGTTGGGAAGGCGGATCGAAACGATCCCCGGGGAGTATTACATTTATACAAAGAAGAAAGAAGGAATAGAAGAAGAAAGACTCATCCTCGGCTATCACTCTCTTCTTTTTCTCGTTTGGTTTTCCAAAAATTTCGTATTTGGAAGTTGGCTGAATTCGTCATGTTTTTGAATTTTTGAAGGTCAAAATAAGAATTTTGAGCCACTTTCGGGTTATTTTCCAAGAATTATCTTTCCCAGCTGAGCTAGGCTAGATCTCAGAAAGTCATAAGGGTCCTAAACCTAGATAGGTCAGATTCTAGAACTATCCAATCTATCTGGAGCTCAGGTTGGCTGGCCTTATTTGCTCTTATAGCAGCCTACTGTAATTTTTACTTTGAGCTCGATTATCTCGGTCCCTATGAGAGATATCTAAAATCTGTCAACTGATAAATTGTTTACCATAATATTGCCAATACTTTGTCAGTTGACAGGTTCTTCATATCTTTGACAAGAACCGAGATAAGTTGAATCAAAGTTAAGGGATCTCCTAATAGATGCCCACCCCATATGAGCATTTTGAGCTCAATTATCTCGGTCCCTGTGAAAGATATCAAAAACCTGTCAACTGATAAAATATTTATCATGACATCACTCATATTTTATCAATTGACAAATTTTTGGTAGGTCTCATGGGAACCGAGATAATTGAGCTCGAAGAGCACGTATACAACGGGATTTTATTAGAAGGGATGGGAGGGGGGATACGGTATGAACCTTCCTAGATTTTCCAATTTCTGGAGGTCTAACCTTTTAGCCTCTGAAAGTTCAAAAATCCAGACGACACAACCATCTTTTTTTTCTAACACCACCTTATTTTTTGTCTTCGAAAGTTTTCTTTTGTATGCACTCACTCTTACTTAAAAATTCTCCGTTTTTTCGGAAAACTTGAAAATTCGAAAAAAAAAGAAGATATAGTAGAAGAGGTGGTTGGTGGGAAGAAGAAGAAGAAGAAGACGTCGCACTCTTTTCTCTTCTGGAAGTCGGCGTCTGACGACATCCTCACGAAAATCTGAGCAAAGTTAGAGAGAGCGCTGGAATCGAGGAGACGCCGACGCTAACTCAGTTTCCGCGAACAATCCCAATCAGTGCCGACGTCTTCTTAGGAAGAAGGCGAAAACTTCGAAACAGAATAAAACGTCGTCTTCCCTTCCCTCGCAACGTCTTCGAGAATATTCAGATGACGTGGAAGACGTTGGTGGGATACCGTGGGAATTCTTCACTGCTCTCTATCGGATCTCATATTTCTTTCTTTTTTGTCTTCTTCCCGTTTTTATATTGAATTCTCCGGCTAAAAATTCCAAAAGAAGGGTTTATATTTTTGATGCTGCTTCTTATCCATAAAATTGAGGCACTTGAGCAAGAAGCTCCCTATGAATAGGATTCTAATTGGTTTCATTTGTAGGTATTGATTCTTATAAATGTAAACATTCGTAGATGTGTCAGGATTTTGATTTTAAGAAAAAAAAAACCTAACCAGATGCTAGAATTTCGTAGGGCAACTTTAATTGATTCGGCCAAAATGGCTCCGCGTCACTTCGAAACCAAGCATTTAGAAACCGGGGTCATACCGGCGAATGGATAAATGTTAGACTTAAAAAACAATTTTAAGGTTTCCAAATATACTTTTTCTGTTGTTCTCATATCCTGAAATTTATTCATTTGCCTGTAATTACACGGTTTCGAAATGACTGCTTCAGAAGTGTCGCGGTTTTAAAGTGACGAGGAACTCAAATTTTCCTCAAATCTTTCCCTGAAACTAGCATAATCCAAGTCATAATTTTTGATCATAAATAATTGATGACAGTTGATTTTTGAAATGTGTTTGGTAATAATCTTGTTCAAGTTTATTGACCATAATCTTGTCTCAGTTTTGCAAAAGTTATGGTACAGTCGGTTTTCTTCTATTTTCCATCATAATTGCATTAAACTTGTCCGTGAAGGCTAGCTAATTTAGCTCTAAGAGAAGCCCACCCAAACTGCCAACTTTGAGCTCAATTATCTGAATTCATATGAGAGGTATCAAAAATTTGTCAGCTGATAAAATATTGGTGATATCAGGATAAATAATTTTTCAGTTAAAAGATTTTTGATATTTCTTATAGGAACCGAGATTTGAGTTCAAAGGAAACGTACCTCCTTCGTTCGGCCGTCTCAGCGTGCGCAACCGTAGCTCAGATGGTACCAACGCCTCACCTGCAATTGTTCGCCCACAAGTTAAATTTCCCAAAAGACTTATATGAACGGAATTCCGAGAAAATAACTGTTCATGTCCCCCACCTTTAAAGCCTTCACAGTAACTCCAAACTGCCAAGTCTTCATCGAAAAACTGCCAAGTCTTCAGCGAAAAATCCAATCTTTTTTCTTGCATCCCCCTCCCACTTCTCTACCAATCAATCATGCGCATTTCCAATTGGCGCCAAGGCGATCCTTCCGAAATAACAATAGAATACGAAACCCCGTCCGAGTCTTCTCAAATACACATGTCATCTCTCACTTCTTCTTTTTTGCTTTTTTGGCTCAGATTAATTTTTTTTTCTTGAAGTCTTTTTTTTTTGTTCTTTGGAAAACTTATAGGTTTTTTGTAGGGTAATTGTTGGAATGTTTTGAAGTGTTCGAAGTTGAATCAGCTGCGTCTACGGTAACCTGTTAGTGATCAAGGTGAGTCTGGAAGTTTTTGAAAAATGAGAATTTAAACTGATTTTGGGAGGACTGGGATCTGGAATGGGTGAAGACTGGAATCAATCTTTTTTAATGAAATATTTTGCTTGAATAGAAGCCCTACTGCGTTGATTTTTTTAAAGAAATTTTTATCAAAATTGTAAAAATACCGTAACTCAGTCAGTTTTGATTCAAACCCGACAATATAGAAATATATCGATTTCTCATCATGTAGTCTTCAAAATGCGTATAAATACGCCTAGGCACCGCCCACTTTGAAAAATTCGGAACCCATTGTGCCTTTAAACCCAAACTTCGAAATGGGCGGAGCCTAGTCGTGTTTATATTCATTTTGTAGCCAGGGATAAAATATATTTGAAAATAAAAGTTTAAACAAGTTTAGATGAACACTGACGGAAGAATTATGCAAGCATTTGAAAAAAATGCGAGATTTTTCCTATACGTGCATTTGAGCTCAATTATCTCAGTCCCTATAAGAGATATCAAAAATTTGTAAACTGATAAAATGTTTATCATAATATGACCAATATTTTATCAATTGACAAATTTTTGATATCTTTAAAAAAACTGACATAAATTGGCCCGAAGTTTGAAGCCAATCGGCTCGAAAATTAGAGTTTTTACGGTATTTCACAATTTCTAAACTAAAATCTTAAGACTAGAAAATTCGTGACATATAATATTCTAATATTTAATACGATCTAAACTTTTGATATACAGGGTGCGGCAAAAGTATGGTAACACAAGTTTCGCGCAAGCTGGTGGGCGCAGGCGCACTTTTAGTGTCCTGAATTTATATTCATTATTTTCAGCATGTCTTAATTACCTTATCACCATATTTTCAATTCTTTTGGTTGACTTTTACAGAAATGGTGACAAGTTCTATACACCTAGGTACCCTCGTCGAGGTGGCCAAGAGAGGGGTGGGCACAGGTAGCATCGAAAAGCTCTTGGAATCTCACGAACAACCCTGTGGATAACCATGGCATGGTTTGATTAGTTAAATACGGTCAAGAACTGTCTAAAAAACATAAGATCTCAAACTTTGATCATTCTGAAGAAATGCAAGACCGTCCAAAAACGAGTTTGTCGAAATCCGCACCGAAGAAAGAAAAAATGAGCCTGGATCCCCCAATGAGCAGTCAGCCTCTCAGTAGAACCGCTAAAAGTGAGCTTGGACTGACCCCATATCGTGCTCAAAATACTGGAATTCTGTCGGGAAACAACAATCTGGTACGCGTCCAGAAGTGCAAATTGACATTTGCTGGCACTCGCCAAAATGAACACATGAATATGATGTTTGTCAACGAGAAACTCTTGACGGTGGAAGTCGAATTCTCATTGAAAAATTATTTAGTTTCTTCCCCGAGATCTGAGCTATCTAATGAGCATAGTAACATGAAAAAAGTTTAATATCATCAGAACGTCATGGTTTTTACAACAACCTCCAAATTCTAATTTTTGTAGATTTTGGGGTGAAAATCAACAGAAATGACTAATATGCAGAAATTTTCAAGGGATATGTTCATCCGTGGGCCAATTTCAATTTTGAAAACCATGTTTGGACTATTCAACGGGATTCTGCTCCCGCTCACAAGACAAAAATCATTTAACCATGATGCACGGTCAGTTTTTCAATATTCAGTATGACTTGCGAATGGTCACCCTCGTCGCCAGAAATGAATCTGTTGGACTATTCCGCATATGGAATATTTCAGTCGAGGGTCCAAGCACGTCCAGAACAAAATTTGTAGCCATTGAAATCAAGTTTGATCTCAGACTGGGTCAATTTATCTCCAAAATACCCCCGTGCCAGGTAGATGCGTTCCCGAAGAGACTCATCGATGTTGTGAGGAACAAAGGCAACCGCGTCGAACAATTTTTATAATTTCAGATTTAGAAAGTATTCAGTAAACTATTGTCCAATTTTCATGTTGATACGGGTTATTTTGGGAAAGTTACATCACTTTGAATATGTTACCATACTTTTGCCGCACCCTGTACAAAAATCTAGTCCGTTCATTCCAACCAGTCTAAATCCAAATCGTTCCAATTCTTTAAAACCATCAACAAGTGTTCAAAATTTTGAATTTCGATCAATTTTTTTTCATTTTCCATAATTCCATTTTATATCTATCTCCTTTTTCTTTTTATCTCTACGCATCTCTATTCTATTCTCGTTTTCAAAAAAAAAACCAAACGGGGCGTGGCTTCGTGTGCTCTCTCTGGGAGCTCCTCCCCCATGTGTTCCCCCAACTAGCTTTTCTTCTCTGCGTCTCTCTCCCGGGGTGTCTCATGTAGTAGTACCAACGGCCACGTCACTTTTGATTTTTTTCGCTTTCCATTCTAGAACGATTCCTAAATATCTGAAATTACAGGGTAGAGGGAGAGAGACGCAGACAGTCCATCATGGGGTTCAACGTGCCCGTCATCAACCGAGATTCGGAATTATTGAAACAAGAAGCGAAGAAATGGTTGGAACAACAGGATAATCAGAAGAAATGTGTTCTGGTGATTGTATCGATTGCCCTACTTCTGGATAATATGCTATATATGGTCATCGTTCCGATCATCCCAAAATACCTTCGAGACATTCACAACTACGCGGTCACTTTTGAAGGATACCATAATGAAACACAACGTCTGGCAAATGGAACTTATTTGGTTCGAGAAGTCGGTGGAAGGATTGAGTATTTGGACGAGGAACTTGAGCTGGGATGGCTTTTCGCTTCAAAGGCACTTCTTCAGATCTTTGTCAACCCGTTCTCTGGATACATCATCGATCGAGTTGGATATGAGATTCCAATGATTTTGGGATTGTGCACCATGTTCTTCTCAACAGCTATTTTTGCACTTGGAAAGAGTTATGGAGTTTTGCTTTTCGCTAGATCTCTACAGGTGAGATTTTTTTACAGTTTTTGGGCGAGGGGGTTAGGAATTTCTTCATTTCTTTGGTTTTATCCCTAAACGCACACGTCGAGCTCAATTATCTCATTTCTTATAAAAAATACCAAAAAGTTTTCAATTAATTAAATGTTTGTGATATCATGGCAAACATTTTATCAGTTGACAAAATTTTAATATCTCTTATAGGAACCAAGAAAATTGAGCTCAAATTTCGAGTATATTGTGGCTCCAGAGAAGCCTCCCTAAAGCATTAACTTTGAACTCAATTAACTCGGTTCCTATATTAGATATCAGAACACTTTTAACTCATAAATTGTTTATCATAATATCATCAATATTTTATCAGTTGACAAAATTTTGATAACTCTTATAGGAACCGAGATAATTGAGCCCAAAGTTGACAGATTGGGTAATCTCTAGACAATCTAAAACTACAGTATAGTTTTAATGGGTTCCAAATACCTGAAGGCTTAGAAAATCAGTATGTATATATGTAGTCATGTACGAAAAATTAAATGTCTTGACGACTTGAAAAAACCGCAACTTTTGAGAAATCGCAACTTTTGAAAAATCGCAATTTTTGGAAAATCGCAGAAATCGAATTCAGTATACAGCGTTCAAAAAAGCGGTTCAAATTTTGAATTCAAGAATTTCAAGTTTACAAAAACCGCTGGCCTAGCTTTCCCAAATTTGGTTTTTCTAGTCTTCCTTCTAGTTTTGTTTTTTTGCTCCTCGAGAATTTTTTCCGCATCAATTCCACCACATTTTTGTTCCAAACACCTCCCTTGGTGGCTATCTTTTGAAAATCTTTCTTTTCTTTTTCTTCTTCCACGTCTTCTAACTTCTTCAGAAGACGAAGAATACGAACAATTCGATTTGGAGTCTTCCTTCTCTTTTTGTTCGTCTTCCCCCTCCCTCCAATTTCACTAAATTGAGAGGACACCACACCGGTCCGGGGACTACTCCATCTCTTTTTTTGTACATAAATTTCGATTCTTCTTCCCGAATCGCAGCAGTATACCACAAAAAAAGAAAACCGAGAAGGAAAAGGATTTCTGAAATGTCTCTGCGTCTCCATCCCTTCCCATACTATTTCGTTAGTCATCGTCTTCCCCTAGTCGTGCTAATTAACGAAGAAATAGATGCTCTCCAGAGCTGAAGAAAAGAAACAAAACGAGTAGTCGTTGAGGAGAGGAAAGGGAAAAATAGAAGGATGATGGTGATGATGGTCCAGGGTGATAAAGAGGATGTCCCATGGGAAAGGGGAAAAAGAGCAAAAGTTTTGAAACTAGATATTTGTAAAAAAATATGGAAGGTCGAAAGTTTTGAATATTTCCCAAAAGACATAAAATAATTTTCCAGGGCTTTGGATCCGCATTCGCTGACACCTCTGGCCTTGCCATGATCGCTGATCGATTCACTGAAGAAAACGAGAGATCTGCTGCGCTTGGAATCGCTCTAGCATTCATTTCCTTCGGATGTCTTGTTGCTCCACCATTCGGATCTGTGCTCTACTCACTTGCCGGAAAACCTGTGCCATTTTTGATCCTTTCATTTGTTTGCCTTGCTGATGCCATCGCCGTATTCATGGTTATCAATCCGCATAGAAGAGGAACCGATTCGCATGGGGAGAAAGTTCAAGGTTTGTGAACGGATGGGTTTATTTAGTGGGATGTAGGCTATACGTGTAGCTAATCGGACCTAGAATTGCTTTTTTGAAATTACCGTTCAGCCAACTGTGTGGCTCAAAAGTTTATGAAAAAAAATTTTGAAAAAATTTTTCGAATAATTTCATCGAAAAACAGAAATTCGATCCCTGTAAAGCCAGTCCGAAAATGTTAAACTATCAAAAAATTTTAAACCAACAGCTGAAAACCCCCTCTTTTTTGTAGTCCCCAATAATTCTTTGTAAATCCATCTTTTGAGTGGAACTTTTGAGTGGCCAAGAAATTCATTCCAAATTCAAACACTAATAACATACAACAGTTTTTCTGTAAGAAATATACCTCAAATCTGCAAAATACGGCTCAAAATAATGTTTCTAGCACTATCAAAGAACCAAAAAACTATTCAGCAGAGGAGGGAGTCGAACTTTTGCGTGTTCGCTCCAAAGTCAAGTGTGTTAGCCATTGCGCCATTCGTGCGGCGCACGCTTTGAAATGAAGGAAGGGCGAACTGTCGGCGGCTCCACCGGGCGCCTTCTCCTTCTTCTCTAGCTCCCAAGGAAGGGCTGGCTCAGTGGCTAACACTTTTGACTTTGAAGCGAATGCCCAAAAGTTCGACTCCCTTCTCCGCTGAATAATTGTTTTTCGTTTCTTGTTAGCGCTAGAAACATTTGTCTTGATTCTTTTTTTACAAGAATTACAAAACCTTTAACTTTGATACCTAGTTACTGAATTTACGAATCGTGAAAAAAATAACCCAAAACAAAACTTACAATAATTTCCAGGAACCCCAATGTGGCGCCTCTTCATGGATCCATTCATCGCCTGCTGCTCCGGCGCTCTCATCATGGCCAATGTCTCTCTGGCCTTCCTTGAACCAACCATCACCACCTGGATGGCCGAAGTCATGCCAGAAACTCCAGGGTGGCTCGTCGGTGTCATCTGGCTTCCACCCTTCTTCCCTCACGTCCTCGGAGTCTATGTCACTGTCAAGCTCCTTAAATCATTCCCCGGATACACATGGGCCATCGCTATGATCGGTTTGGCAATGGAAGGAATCGCCTGCTTTGCAATCCCATATACCAATTCTGTCATGCAACTCGTCATCCCACTCTCGTTCGTCTGTTTTGGAATCGCTCTTATTGATACCTCACTTCTTCCTATGTTGGGACACCTTGTGGATACTCGCCACGTATCTGTCTATGGATCTGTCTATGCCATTGCTGACATCTCCTACTCTCTTGCCTACGCCTTCGGACCGATTATCGCCGGTTGGATTGTCACTAATTGGGGATTCACTGCTCTTAACATCATTATCTTTATCACCAACGTTGGATATGCTCCAGTCTTGTTCCTTTTGAGAAAAGTTCATTCATATGATGCTCTGAGTGGAAATGCTCCTGCTACTCAAAATGGAGAAATGACTCAACTAAACAATACTCCAGGATACAGTCAAGTCGGTGGAAAGACCGAGACTACGGTTTTCAATGATTCCTACCAAGGATGGGATGATCAACAATCCTACCAGAACCAAGCCACTATTCCGAATCATGGAATACCACAAACAGAATACCCTGCTGGATTCGACCCATTGAATCCGCAGTGGTAGATCCTTCTAGATCCTTCTAGAAATCTGAAGCTTCCCCTTTTGATATTTATTATGCCAAAATGCTAACCACCAAGATTACATGGCCAAAATGACTAGTGTCTAGATTGCTTATATTATTCTTCTTTTCCCGAATTCTTCATTCTTTCTCTTTTCTCTTTCTCATCTTGAATCTCACTTCTTCCTAAATATTTTAGTATTTATTATGAACCTTCAAAAAAGAGCACTTTTTGATTTTAATTTATATATTGTTGCTGCTAATTTGGATAAAAATGGATCGATTGCAAACAAAAGACACTTGTTGATGGTTTTTTGAAAATTCTTAAATTTTAAAAATGAATGAATAGAACAGGAAAACGTTTCAGATGGAGCTGAAAATTGAATCACCGAAAGTGAGCAACGATTGGTATGAAGTAAGTTGAGAAAAGTAGATTTTCAAATTTTAATACCCTTAAATAAAAATTTGGTTCAAAATAAAGTTTCCAGCACTTTCAAAGGAATAAAAACACTGCTCACTTTGGAGCTAACGTCCAAAAGTTCGATTCCCTCTTTTGCTGAATAGTTGTTTTAGTCTTTTTTTGGCTGGGAACATTCTCTTCGTTTGTTTAAGGTTTTCGGGTATAAGCTTTCTTCTCGTAAGCTTGACCAAATTCAACTCGGTTCCTGTAAGAGATATCGAAAAAAGTTCAACTTATCAAAGATTTTTGATCTTACGATGAACATGTTGTCAGTTGATCATTTTTTGATATCACTCACGAGAAACGCGAAAGATCGGTTGCAAGGAGATTTATGCGGCCCTGCAGGTTTGAAGGAATTCCTTACGATCTTGCATGTCATTCAAGAAGTGCATTTCTTTTTGTATGATCTAAGGCATTGAAAAAAATATTGATCTGATTTTTCTGTGTTTTGTAAAAGACCTTATAAGGTGAAGCTGAAGAAATGATTTTTGCTGTATAAGAAAACGTATTCCCATTCGTAATGCCCAGAAAGGTGCACAGAGTGGCGGATCATATGTGTGCACAGCTCATTTATCTCGGTTCCTGTAAAAGATATCAAAAATCTGCCAACTAATAACATATTGGTGATATTATGATAAATATTTTGTCAGTTAACCACTTTTTGATATCTCTCACAGCAACCGAGATGATTGAGCTCCAAGTATGGGGTGGGCTTCCACAGAGTGGCGCCACAATTAGACGGACTGATAAAAACGGTTTATCTTTGGACATAAGAATCTTGGAAACACGAAAATTGGTAGAATAATGTTACATTTGATTCAAAGCTACTGAAATTTTCAAAGCGATTCCTCAAGTCTAGATATTTTATGATTGTCCAAAGATGAACGGCGTAATGTTTCTTGTGATTTTCAGGAGATGAAGCATCTTTGACGAGCGATAACTAAGCTTAAAGTTGATCAAATAATCTGAAACTTGTTCAGTTTAAACTTGTTCAGTTTGTTCAGAATTTTTGTATTCCAAATTCTATCTCAATACAATGCTTCAGTCAAATTTTATGATAGTGCAAACTTGAGTCTGTCCTCACTTCTTAATCGGAAGATTCTGGTTTTCGTGAAATCCTCTAAAAGATCAAAGTGGTGTACTTTCTTCTCGAAAAAATGATAAGAATGTACTATCGTTGCGGGAAAAAAAACATTCTTATGAACTTCTCCCAATCAGTCCTAGTCCTCCTACCCCTATTTTTCGCCATCTCTTGATTTCCTGCTCTTCCGTAGTTCCATCTCCTTTCCCACCTTCTCCTCAGCAGCTTTTTGCTCTTTCCCTAGAGAACATGAGCAACCTTTCGGTTTAATTAGATTCCCCTTCACGAATTCACGCTGATTCTTTTTTCCACCTCTTCTACTTCTTCTTCTCCAGAAGACCACAAAAAATATAGTATCTAGCGAGTGCATCTTCTCGCTAGCTGACGACATCCTCCTTTTCATCCATTAACACGACGTCTTCTACTGGTTCTCTTCTCATTTTGAAACAGAAAAAAAAGAGAACTCGAACCGAGAAGAAGAAGAAGAAGAAGAAGAGAAAGAATAGAAGAACTAATTAGTTCGGATAACACTATTTTTTGTTTCTAACACACAATTCTCCCATTCTTGGTCTCCTCCTATTTTGAAACATGAGAATTGTTTCATTATTCTTGAAGAAACAGTTGTTGTCCACACAGATTGCCTACCGTAATCTGAAAACTGTGAAGGTACTTCTTTAAGAGTAGGAAACATTTCTTTCAAAAGTTAATCATAATTTTCAGACCGCATTGCCAAAACCACCAGTCCCAACATTGGAGGCAACACTTGACAGGTATAAATAAACCCAAAATTTTTGTTAATCTAAAATCAAAAAATTGACCTATTCTAAAAGTGGGAAAGATATTCAAAATTCCACATTTCCTTGTTTCTAGGTCGAATTAAAATGTCGTGCATCCTCTAATCGAAGCCAATCCGAACCATCAACTTTGAGCTCGATTATCTCGATTCCTATGAGAGATATTGAAACTTTGTCAACTGGTAAAATGTTTATCATAATATCACAAATATTTTATCAGTTGACAGATTTTTGATATCTTTTACCAGAAGTGAGATAATTGAGCTTAAAGTCTAAATATCAGTGGACACATCTAGTAGAAGCCCATCTCAAACGTACATTTTGAGCTCGATTATCTCGATTCCTATAAGAGATATCAAAAATTTGTTAACTGATAAAAAGTTTATTATAATATTCCCAACTTTTTATCAGTTGACAGATTTTTAATATCTTTTACAAGAAGCGAGATAATTGAGCTCAAAGTTAAAGTTAACGGTTTGGGTGGGCTTCTACGAGAGGAAATACGGTACCTTCTATTACAATGCTAGTATAAGTTTTACAGTAATCTAAAATTCAACAAAAATTCCAGATATCTCGAATACGCTGCTGTCGTTGCTGTTGGCCAAAGAGCATCGCTTGCCACGACCCATGATGCTGCACAGAAGTTCGTTCGTCAAGCAACTCCACTTCAGGAACAACTTCTGGAGATTTCTCAGAAGTCGCCAAACTGGGTAGTTCCTTATTTTATCATTTCTTTAGTTTACAGGATTTTCTATTACTGAATTTGTAGGCCACAAAATTCTGGCTGCCTGAAATGTACATGCGTGTTCGGATCCCAACTCCAGTCAACTCGAATCCAGGGTATATCTTTCCAAAAGTGAAGTTCGAGACACAAGAAGATCACATCAAGTATACGGCACTGTTGACAAGAGGGCTTTTGGAGTACAAGAATTTGATTGATACGTGAGTTGGGAGAATTGACGATAGAGACAGAGAAGGAAACTTTAAGGTGGGGGACATGAAAAAAAACTATCTAGAACTTTCGTTCAAACCAGCCTGTTTGTAAAAGCGCGTGAATTCGAATTTATTTCTTCATTTTCGGCGTTTTTCCAGATTTTTTCAGACTTTTCAAGTTTTTTGTTAATTTTTCCCCCAATTATCTCGGAAAACCGGAAAAAATCTGGAAAAAAAGCCGAAAATGAAGAAATAAATTCGAATTCGCGCGCTTTTACTCCCAAAAGAACTAGAAAACTCGCACTCGGTCACCAGTTAACACTTTGGTTTTCGATGCGTTTTTCTCCACGAAGTAATTTTTCGATTTTTTTTACTTTTTTATGGGAATCTACATAATTTTCTAAACAGAATAAAGCAATAAAAATTTTTACCGCACACCACCTTTAATGGGCCAAAAGGGGATTTATAAATATCTGTCGTATTCGGATCTAACGAAGAACTGGAACGATTGACTAAAGATTCGGGGCACTCCGATAGTGACAATCATCCCATCATCGCGTTTGAAATCGAAATAACCAGTGATAATGATGTTTTGTTCAATATACCTGAAGAGTACATTTGTCTTTGTTTGATACAAATATTGATAAAACTCACTTCTTATACGCGACCAGAAAACGAATATTAGATTCCGTCTTCTGAACAGTACGGACTCTATTCGTAATTCCGTCAATGTCCATTCTTCAATTTCTGCTTGAAAGTAGTTCAACTTCGGTAGTTCACCAGCCAAGACCTTCTCTAGGTAAGCAATCATATCCTGGTTGGTGATCCCTGACTTGTAAACACTGACAAACTCAAAGTTTTGAGAGATTAACTGATCGAGAGTCATCCACTTCGAGTATGAGCAATAAAAATGCTTCAGCGTTTTTGGTAGATCATGTTGAAAATCTTCTTGAACTTTGCATCCGATATTCAATGCAGTTGTGACATTTACGTTATCCAAAATGTATAAGAGATCCGAGTTGGTCATTTGAACTGCTTCTCCAGTGATATCACAGTGTTCCACTGAAAAGAGTGAACATATTTGAACAGAAAAATCGATCGATTAGTTCTGAAAAACTCACCTTCAGAAGATCCACGTCCATTGATCCAATCAATGATCCTTTTTGTTTCTTTCGGTTTTTGTTTACTGATCTCCAGTTGGTAGATTGGTGGTCAGTTGAGAATCTCGTCCAAATGTTTTGCAAAAATAAAAAACCCAGAAATCGGATTCTTTCCTGAAGCTCGAATTCTCTTCTCGTCGAGGAGAGCATGGATTTTCCTGCCACCGAACATGATTACTTCTAGAAATTGATTAATTGAATTTAAAAGTTTTTTTATTTTCAAAATAGTTACCTGTCGGGAATCTTACATCCACTCTGCCTGAAAAAAAAACCAGCAGTCACCTTGTAAATCGTTATGCGGATTTTCATGATGAATCACACTGATTTCTGGTATTTCTTAAGAGCATATTGAGAATCGAACTTTTCGTTTTTTTTTAAATGAAATTTTTGACATCTCGGGTGCATTTCGGAGAGCAGTTCGAGTAGTTGATCCTGGAATGTTTGATGAGAAAATTTAATTTAAACATTCAACTTACAAATCAAAAGTGGATAGCTTAGACAGTGCCATCTCGAGAGGGTTTCTGGGAAGCCTCGAAAGATTGGTTGCTGAAAGAAAAGAGTGGAAAAGGGGGAGTAAAGAAGAATGAGTGAATATGTTGGCATAGAAGAATGGTAGGAAGACACATGTGTGCTATTGATTTGTAGCTAGAATTTTTATGATGTCTTCAAGTTTCATATAGGGTCAAAAGGATACTTTACAGAATATTTTAAGGTGTCAGACAGGGTCATAGGGGTGCGTTATAGGGTATCTGGGTATTTTGTTTTTTGGGAAACCGTCTCGGCTAAAAAGGAGACACAGATTTCACCAAGACAGCGTCAGCAAGCTCCGAGAAAAACCTTTAGCAACATAAATAAGACGACCCGTCCGGCCCACCCACATCGAAGCGGTGCTCACCCAGTTTGCACTCCAGGCAATCTCGCTTTACCTATAAAAAAACGAAAGTATCAAAATTTAAATCCAGTGGGCCCGAGATACAAAAAAGTTTCCCTTGGTCACATCAGCCGATTTCCAGAAAACAAGTGTGCCGTGAAAAGTCGACTGGTGCTCAAAAACTCCAGATGTGCATGGAACAGTACGATCGTGTGCTCAGCTGCTACCGTGAGCCGGGAGTCGGAGAGGATACGCAAATTCGAAAACAAAAAACCAACGATGGAAATGAGCATGTGTTGGTGATGTGCCGTAATCAGACATTCATTCTTCACACTAGAATCAATGGAGCCCTAGTTTCATATGCGGATGTTGAGCATCAATTGACAAAGATTGAGGAGATTTCAAAGATCAATCAGAATGTAAGAATGATTAGGACCTGTAATAGAAGAGCCCCCTTCTCGGCTACTGTCACAGGTATCATAAAGTTGTCAACTGATAAACTGTTTATTTTACTATCAGTGGACACATCTTGATATCTTTAACAGGAAATGAGATAATTGAGCTCAAAGAAGTGGTACAGGTTTCATTGGAAGTACTCAGTTTTGTATATTCAGAATACCACAAAGATCGGCGCATCTGGTGTGGGTCCACGTGACGATGCGGCACTGTTCTGGCAAGATATGCTAACCGTTGAGCAGAACTGCAAATCTTATGAATGGGTCAAGTCTGCGCTCTTCGTGGTTTGCCTGGATATGGAGGATAATGTGAACTATGGAAAGAATGGTACCTGTTTCTGAAAATTATTAGTACCTTAATTGTTTTGTTTCAGATATTCTGGATATTCCAGCCAAGGAGAAGGAGTTTATTGCTCGTGGATACTCCACTTTAACCGGTCATGGATCATCCAAATTCGGACTCAATCGCTGGTACGATGCCACTATTCAACTGGTTGTTTCTTCAAGTGGTGCTAATGGATTATGCATCGAACACTCGACTGCAGAAGGTATTGTGATTATCAACATGGCTGAAAGTGCAATCAGATATGCTCAAAAGTACTTTAAGAGCAAAATGGTAAACCTTATCTCTCAAAAATTCAGGAACAAATTTTCTAAATTCCAGGTGTGGAATGATGTACGCAATGTGCACCCGAAATCGCTTACCTGGCATTTCAGTGAAAATTCCAGAAATATTCTGAAGAAACAAGCCGAGGTTTTTGACGAGTTGGCGAATGAGATGGAACTGGAAGTGCTAATTTTCGATGAGTTTGGAAAGGATTCGATTAAGAAATGGGGTGTTAGTCCGGATGGTTTCATTCAGTTGATTATGCAATTGGCACATTATAAGTGAGTTTTTTCGAAAGACGTCTTCAGGTTCATTGTGTGGTTCAGTGTGTGGAAAGACCTTTTTCGAAAACGGTTTATTTCGAAAATTCTGTCGGAACTTTTTTTTGGAAGTTTCGTTCTAACATTCGAGCCACTAAACTGGGCTCGGTGCATTCTTGGTCATTTAACATGGTGGCCTAACTTCTGCAAGTAAAGTTTTCTAGGCCACCAACTTTCGTGGTCTAGAAACTGTCTCAGATGCACCTAATGCGTTTTCTGGGCTTTTTTTACATGGTGGCCTAATTTTCGCAAGTTAAGTTTTCTAGGCTAAGATGGTAAATTCAAACAACACAAAAACAAGTATCAGGTCATTTCTAGACCATAGAAGCTGATTTCCCAGAAAACTCGACTTGCAAAAGTTAGGTCATCATGTTAAAATGATCTAGCAAACACACAAGGTGCACATTAGACCATTTCTGGACCTTCAACTACAGTAGCATAGAAAAATCATTTTGAGAGTATAACACAACATAACACAACAAGGTCATAACTGGCTTTCCAGAACCCATGGCCACCTGGTCTCCACCTACGAATCTGCTTCTGTCCGCCGTTTTGGTGCCGGTCGAGTCGACAACATCCGTGCTAACACTCAAGAAGCTCTGGAATGGGTTACTGCAATGACTTGTAAAAAGGAAACTAAGGAACGCAAACTTGAACTTTTCAAGAAAGCAGCCCTCAAACAGGTCAAGGTTACCCTTGAGGTGGGAGATTTGAAACTTCAGGATCTAAAGAACAAAACGAAATTTTTCTTTTTCAGAACATCAGTGGTTACGGTATCGACAATCATCTCTGTGCTCTGTTCTGTCTGGCACGTGAACGAGAAGAAGTGACTGGAGAAGAGATCCCATCACTTTTCATGGATCCATTATGGGCTGAGGTGATGAGATTCCCATTATCCACGAGCCAAGTCACCACATCCACTGACATCACTGATTGCTATCTGACATATGGAGCCGTGGTTCGAGATGGATACGGATGTCCGTATAATATTCAACCGGATCGTGTCATTTTTGCACCGACCGCTTTCCGAAGTGATCGGAGAACTGATTTGACTCATTTTAAGAAGAGTTTGGGAGATGCGATGAGAGATGTAAAGGGTTTATTGAGCAACTGATTACTGATACAGCTTTGTAAAAATGTGCCAAACTATCGTATTCCCTCTAAAAAAGCCCACTCAAACCGTTAACTTTGAATCAGTTTATCTCTGTTCATATGAGAGATAGCGAAAATTTGTCAACTGATAAATTGTTTACCATAACATCATCAATATCTTATTAGTTGACTAATTTTGATATCTCTCATAGGAATCCAGATAATTGAGCTTAAAGTTGACAACTTTGGTGTGCTCCTATTTTTTTTCTTATTGCTGATTTTTTTCCACACATAATTTATTTATTTTGCTTTGATTCCCTATTTTTCTCCTGTAATATTTGTTTGGCAATAACAAATCTCATAACATGTAGATTTTTATATACAGATGATCTCTAATAATTTATATTCTCCCGAATTGTAAAAATATTTGTATTTTCAAGATATTTTTGGGATTCAATAGTACTGTAGTTCATTTTGGAATGAAGTTTTTATTTGGAAAAGTTTGGGGTTTTCTCAATTTTCGGCTTCAAAGAACTACCGAAACAACCTGTAATAGAAGGGCTCTCACACTGTGAAACTTAAGCTCAATTATCTCAGTTCCTATGCAAAATATCAAAAATGTGTCAACCAATAAAATTTTTGTGGTATTATGATAAGCAATTTATTAGTTGACCAGTTTTTGATATCTTTTACGAGGAACTGCGATAATTGAACTCAAAGTGCACGTAGAGGTTGAGCTTCTACTAAAGAAAATACAATATAAATAGTACCGTAACCCCCGTGAAGTCCGAATGAAAAAAAGCAAAGACTACAGGTATCAGAGGAAGAGGAAAAATCAGTACTCAGTTACAACGGTCAAGTTTAGGGGCTCTTTGGCTTTTAGCATTTAGGTACCCGCAGTCAGGGATTCATGACTTCATGGACGATGGCGACGATTCGCAGGATCTCAGGTGCTATGATTGAAAAATGGCAGGTAAGGAAATAAGTTGACAAAAAAATGAAAAAAGGCAAATTACAGATTCTTCCTGGTTAGTAGGATTCAGAAGACTCGAGGAACCAGGATTTTGATGACTCAGATGCTAGGATTTCAAAGGGAGAGGTGACGAAACTTCAAAATTTTGTCGGATTTGCGAGAATAGTGTAAATTTAGAAAGCACGTCTACTGTCACACTGATACCAGAATTCTGGTTTTTCAAATTTGAAAAGTTGTCAAGGTGAAAAAGTGAAAAAGAAATTTCAAAAATTTAGAAATTTTCAGTCGGTGAACACGTATTCCAAGAAGGCGCCAACTCCGACTACTCCGCTAACCCAGTCAACGCCGTCTGGAGGATCAGGGCTTCAAGGACGATTACAAGGATTCGCAGGATCTCAGACGAAGGTAAAAAATTAAGCAGGAATTTTCAAAAACAAAACGAAACTTTCAGTAGGTGGACTGGTATTCCGAGAAAGCATCAACGAGAAGGCATATACTCCGCCAACACCGTCCACGTCGTCTGGATATTAGAACTCATGAACTTTATTTTTTTGTGATAGTTTTTTTTGCATTTTTTGCACGCGCTTCTTACTTGGTTCTGATTTTTCGAGGACTTCATGGACGATCGCAAGGATTGACAGAATCTCAAACAATGCTAGGATTATGAAGTCAGAGGTAAGGGAATAGTGATTGAAGTTTCAATATTTTTAAATTGCAGAATCTCCCTGGATAATAGGATTCAAAAGATTCAAGGACGACAGGATTTGATGGTAACGACCGCTCGGATACAGATGCTGGGTTTACAACGGTCAAGTCAGTTTACAACGGTCAAGTTTAGGGGCTCTTTGGCTTTTAGCATTTAGGTACCCGCAGTCAGGGATTCATGACTTCATGGACGATGGCGACGATTCGCAGGATCTTAGGTGCTATGATCGAAAAATGGCAGGTAAGGAAATAAGTTGACAAACAAATGAAAAAAGGCAAATTACAGATTCTTCCTGGCTAGTAGGATTCAGAAAACTCGAGGAACCAGGATGTTGATGACTCAGATGCTAGGATTTCAAAGGGAGAGGTGAGGAAACTTCAAAATTTTGTCGGATTTGCGAGAATAGTGTACATTTAGAAAGCACGTCTACTGTCACACCAATACCTGAATTCTGGTTTTTCAAACTTCAAAAGTTGTCAAGGTGAAAAAATGAAAAAGAAATTTCAAAAGTTTAGAAATTTTCAGTCGGTGAACACGTATTCCAAGAAGGCGCCAACTCCGACCACTCCGCCAACACCGTCCACGTCGTCTGGATATTAGAACTTGTGAACTATATTTACTTTTTGTTGTGATTGTTTCTCATTTTTCCTCTTTCCGCGCGCGCTTGTTTTTTACTTTGTTCTGGTTTTGTGGTCATTGTCGGCTTCGAAGGATCAGGGCTTCAATAACGATTACAAGGATTGGCAGGATCAAGATGCTAGGATTATGGGATGAAAGGTGAGGGAATAGAAATTGAATAAAAACAAATAAATCAAAATTACAGATTTTTTCTGGCTACTAGGATTCGATGACAACGATCGGTCGGATTCAGTTTTAGGATTTTAAAGAGATAGGTGAGAAAATGGTTTTTTTTCCTCAAAATTATAATTGAGCCATTCAAAAAAATTTCGGGCTCTAAAAAATATTTTTATTTTTGATCTTTTTTGGAACTTGAAAAAATTTTTTGAATTTAAAAAATATTGAAAATATTGAAAACTTGGGGAGATTTGTGAGAACGGAGTAAATTTAGAACGTCCATCTACAGTTGTGCCTAACGCGCGTCTACAGTCGTACAGCCTGAATTTTCGAGTAAAAAAGAATCATTAAAGTAATAATAATTGGGACGAAATTTTTAATAAAAAATTCGACAATTTTCAGTCGATCCAAGAAGGCCCCAACTCGGACTACTCCGCCTACTCTGTCAACGTCGTCTGGATATCAGAACTCTCTTGAACTTGATTTACTTTTTTGTTATCATTTCTCATTTTCGCTCTTTCCGCGCGCGCTTTTTACTCAGTTCTCGTTTTCTGGAGTGTCTTCTGGTCTTGACGTCTTCGCTGTAGTTCTCCTTCTCCTCGTTGTTATCGTATCTTTGAAATTTGTGTTTTTCCATTAGAACTTCTCTCGGTTATGGGAAATTTATGGGCAAAATGGCGATTCGTAACATCCGTATCTACTTCGTATTGTGGATTTCTGTATCTGTCTCTGTCTTTTAAAATCTAATCTGGATCTAGAAAATAATTCAGCTGCTCTGAACCAAAATCTAAAAAAAATATATAATATGGGTTATTAAAAACTTATGAATATGACCTCATGGAACAAAAATGAAAATGAAAAAAGGGTTGAGAAATGAATAAAAACGAATAAAGGGTTCGAAAATGAGTAAAGCTTCTTAATGAAAACCAGCCTGTGCCGCGCATTCGGCGCTTCAAACAGCTGGCTGGAGCGCCTTCGGCGCAATTAGACCTATTTAGTTTACTATTCGTCGCTTCGCTCCTCTCTCTATTTTTTATAGGGTCACGTCAAATTATATTTAATTTTCAAGATTTTCAAAATTTGCGGACAAACAAACAAATATACAAACCGAGAAAGAGACGCAACTTTATTTATTTATTATAAGAATGATAATAAGTGTTTTATTTTCAGGGACCATTTTATATTAATACATGGTTTAATATCGATTATTGAGTTATTGAAAGATTTTTTTGAAAAAATGGTTCCTCATCGTCATAATCCGAAACCGAGAATCATAGATCCAACTGAAATGTCGGCATTGTTTGGGTTACCGTAAAACCTGTGTTAGACCTCCGGAGGCTGTTTTTCCTCCCAATTTTTCTGAAATTTTTCCGAACAATCGGTAAATTCTCATTCAAAAAATTCGCAAAAAATCTATCAATTTCACAAATGTTGAGCATGTTTTTGGACAAAAAAGTGTTTCGAAAAATTTCTATGAAATTGTAGTTTTTAAAAACTTTTCCACTGAAAACGTACGAAAATTTTCAATTTCAAACAACATTTTTGAGGGCCATTCTATTTTTCAGAGCCGCTCTCGCAGGGCCTGTCTATTAGAGTGGCCCTCCTATTGAGGGGGCCCTTCTAATACAGGTTTTATTGTTATTTTTTTCAGGTGTTTTACAATTAGAACATTTTTCCAATTTCAAATTGCAGATATAGTTCCGTATTATGTTTATAGATTGTGTATCAAAGTTTTCATGTATATCGAAAATTGTCAATAACCGGAATCAAATGCCTATAGTGTAACACTTTGAAAATGACCAAAACATCATGAGATCAAAAAAAGAGAGAATGAAAGTGAGTTTACAAAATGTGTAATCCTCCTCCTCTACCAAGAACTCTTGAAATCAGTGGACGTCTTCTGAGTGGCACGCCTTCAGCATCTAGAATTTCTCGACGTAGTGGTTCGTTTTCTTTCCATCGGCGGGCGACTAGCTGAAAATTAAAAATTATTGTTGAAAATGGAGAAAGTTGGGCGCTAAAAATATTTGGCCTTGAAATACAGAATATTGATAACTTTATAAATGGGCAGTCAGAATGTCAATGTTTAGTGTAATTTTAGTAAAAATAATGTAATTAAAAAATAAATAATTGAATGTTCCGGAAAGTTTGAAGCCCACTTAATACGTTTACTTCCAGCTAAATTATCTGGGTTCTTTGGAAAGGAACCAAAAAATTTACAACTGATAAATTGTTTGTCATAATTTCAGAAGTGTTTTTTCAGTGGAAAACTTTTTGATATCTTGCATAGGAATTGAGGTGATTGAGCTCAAACTTGACAGCGTTGGTGCCCTTATATTACAGGTTTTACGGTAATTCAAAAGTGAATTAATGTTATGCTCATTCATGTGTCATGACATAAATTTTGTCTCATTTCCACTCACATCTCTACCTGCAACTTTTCCAATGGCTCTGGCATAGGTAGGTACAACATTCGGATTCCTAACTGGAGGCATATCATCCTCTTCTGGAAAATATGGAGGCTCCATATTTTCACCAACCCTAGACCCTCGTTCTAGACCCAGCATGGTAAGGGCAATAGATTCTGCAAAAACTTAATTTATGGGATTTAAGGAAATTGTGCTTACGAAATTATTTGAAAAAAGTTAAATGAAAAAAATTGATTTACCTCCTATCAGTACAATCAGCAATAATAGAATCTTCAATGAACTCATCATAGTAAAAAATATTAGTTGTTGATTCTTCTACTAAAAACTGTTGGTTTATATATGTCTATGACACGCTGATTGATGACGTGGGTCTGATGAAAAAGAAGCAAAAGAAGAGAAGATGATGACGACGGAAAAGTGAGAATCTCTTTTTTGGGGACGATTGGGTACAGTAAATCAAAAAGAGACCAATCAGAAAACGGGAACGCCTTCTGTCGAGACGAAAAAGTGCTTCACACAAAACACGATAGACTTAAAAGAACGCAAAATGATGACGGGATATTTTTGATTTTTGTAGTGAAGGTAGGAAAACGTGTGAAAAATATTGAAGTAACTTTTCAAAGTTTCCGTACATCGACTGTATAATTTAATGGTTCAATATTCTGGATTCAGGATTCCAATGAAACGGTTTTTCTGAGTTCCCAGCATGTCGTTTCACGAGAACTGTGTTCCAACTTCCGCTAGAAATCGTTCAAAATGGAGCATCAGATACTTGTTTTCCGGATTCCACGCTTTTTTTTTCCGGAGTTTCAGAAAAGTGTCTGCGGAAAAACCTGAAAATTCTGAAACTATGAATTACTATAATAACATTGTAAAATTTGGAATTTCAGAAACAGAAATTTCCCAATTCCCAAACTTTCAGATTCGGAAATTTAGAAATTCGAAATTTCGGATATTTTGGTAATTCAGAACTTTAGAATATTTTTCAATTTTGGGATTCGGAATAAATTTCCAAAAATGATAGATTTCCAAATACCGTATAATCTTTATTAGATTGTTCAAACGTATCTTCGGAGGGCCCTTCTATTACAGGGGCTCTCAAATTTTTTCCAGCCTTTCTCGGAGGGCTCTCCTATTTGAGGGGCCCTCTTAATAAGAGTTTTACGGAATCATAAAAAACTGATATTCAAAACTTCTATCTAGACTATTCAGGAGATGAATCGGGGTGAGTGGGTGAAATCTGAATTGTTCAGTACTCGAGAACTACAGGGTGCGGCAAAAGTATGGTAACACATTCAAAGTGATGTAACTTTCCCAAAATAACCCGTATCAACATGAAAATTGGACAATAGTTTACTGAATACTTTCTAAATCTGAAATTATAAAAATTGTTCGACGCGGTTGCCTTTGTTCCTCACAACATCGATGAGTCTCTTCGGGAACGCATCTACCGTGGCAAGGGGGTATTTTGGAGATAAATTGACCCAGTCTGAGATCAAACTTGATTTCAATGGCTACAAATTTGGTTCTGGACGTGCTTGGACCCTCGACTGAAATATTCCATATGCGGAATAGTCCAACAGATTCATTTCTGGCGACGAGGGTGACCATTCGCAAGTCATACTGAACATTGAAAAACTGGCCGTGCATCATGGCTAAATGATTTTTGTCTTGTCAGCGGGAGCAGAATCCCGTTGAATAGTCCAAACATGGTTTTAAAAATTGAATTTGGCCCACCGAAGAACATAACCCTTGAAAATTTCTGCATATTAGTCCTTTCTGTTGATTTTCACCCCAAAATCTACAAAAATTAGAATTTGGAGGTTGTTGCACCAAAAACCATGACGTTCTGATGATATGAAACTTTTTTCATGTTACTATGCTCATTAGATAGCTCAGATCTCGGGGAAGAAACTAGATAATTTTTCAATGAGAATTCGACTTCCACCGTCAAGAGTTTCTCGTTGACAAACATCATATTCATGTGTTCATTTTGGCACGTGCCAGCAAATGTCGATTTGCACTTCTGGCCGCGTACCAGATTGTTGTTTCCCGACAGAATTCCAGTCTTTTGAGCACGATATGGGGTCAGTCCAATCTCACTTTTAGCGGTTCTACTGAGTGGCTGACAGCTCATTCGGAGCTCCAGGCTCATTTTTTCTTTCTTCGGTGCGGATTTTGACAAACTCGTTTTTGGACGGTCTTGCATTTCTTCAGAATGATCAAAGTTTGAGATCTTATGTTTTTTAGACAGTTCTTGACCGTATTTAACTAATCAAACCATGCCATGGTTATCCACAGGGTTGTTCGTGAGATTCCAAGAGCTTTTCGATGCTACCTGTGCCCACCCCTCTCTTGGCCACCTCGACGAGGGTACCTAGGTGTATAGAACTTGTCACCATTTCTGTAAAAGTCACCCAAAAGAATTGAAAATATGGTGATAAGGTAATAAAGACATGCTGAAAATAATGAATATATATTCAGGACACTAAAAGTACGCCTGCGCCCACCAGCTTGCGCGAAACTTGTGTTACCATACTTTTGCCGCACCCTGTATAATACATGCTACAATAATCCCCACTCACGCTCTCAAGCTAAATTTCCAAAAATGAGCCTACTTGGAAACGGAATCAGAAAACACTGATACTTTTTTGGGTCCACCTCCATCACATTAGTTCTCCTCAAACTACCGTACCCCACTGATTCTCCAAAATGATCTTGTGATTTTTTACAACCAGAAGTTTCCGATTCTCGATGCATCTTCTTCTGTTTTCGATCAACTAAAAAAAGAAGTAAAGAAGAAGGAAAAAGAAAAAGTTCAGAGAAGAAATAAGAAGAGATGACAGTTCATCAGTCGACGGCCGTCATCAAACATGTTGGTCTTTGAAAGATAACGTTGTACGGGAGATACACCCGTAGATGAGGGATGATGATGATTTTCTCTTTTGATTCTAGTGATCTGTATTAGGGGATACGGAGATGTAGCTATAGTTTTATTGGAGAAAAATGATACATAGAAAACAGGAGAACAACAAAAGAAAGACCTACATAAGATTAGAACACAAAAAAAAGTTAAAACAAGAAAAAATATTTGAAGCGGTGAGGTATTGAAGAAGAAAATGTACAAATTCATTCCAACAGAAAACATACAAGGGGGATTCAGAAGAGATGGATTCAGGGGCAAACGAGAGACAGGATTCACAGGGTGGGTTCAGGAGGGATCAGGAGCATAGAATTTAGAAACAAACGGTGTGGGTGGAGTGTCTGATATGGAGGTCCTTGGCGATCATTTCGGCAGTGATTGGGTGCATTTGACTGCGTCCTTTGAGGTAAACATCACGAGCCTTTTTGTTGGCAACTGGCCACTGGGCGAGGTCTCTGAAAAATTAAGGGATTGATTTAGGCCAAATGTTATGCGAGATTTGCTGGTATTTTTTTTTGGTTGAAAATTCTGAATTTTCAAAAATGAAAAATAGAGAAACATGGCAGACCAATAATTTTTTATCTGAAATTGGTTAACTTTGGACGTTAAAAAGAAATTCACATATGTTGGTATATGCTCGAATTGAAAGCCCACCCTATACGAGCACTTAGAGCTCAATTATGCCGGTTCCTATGAAATATACAAAAAACTTGGCAATTGATAAATTGTTTACCATTATATCACCAATATTTTATCAGTTGGCATAATTTTGATATCTGTCATAGGAACCGAGAAAATTGAGATCACACATAGAGTGGGCTTATGATAGAGAAAAAGTAAATGGTGTCGTTGGATAAAAGTGTCACGACTTTGAGCTCAGCGCAGTTTTAAAAAGTCTCAGAGCTAGGTTGGTTTCATTAATAATCTTTCCAGTACTGTACTCTCAAAACGGTACATGCTACTCACCGGTAAATTGGTCTGCAGAACTTCAGACGTCCTTGTGAGTTGACAAAATCAAGAGCTTTTGGAATGCATGCCTCCCACTTGGACTTGATACACAAACGAAGCCAGCTGAAACATAATTCCTGATTTCCCAGAATCTCTTTCCTCCCAAACTCACTTCAACAATAACTCTGAATTTTGGGACTCATTCAATTTGTACAACTTATTCAATGCATCCAACTTCCAATGCTCAATCGGTGGATTATGTTGCCATAGTTGGGACAACAACTCGATTTGTTGAAGTGGTTGCATGGCATAATAATCGTCTCCTGTGATATCTCCCACAGTATGCTCATCAGCGTCAAGCCATTTCTTGAGTAGAACCTCGCAGGCTTCCACCATAGACTGTCCGTAATTTGGTTTCTCTGGTGGCATTCCAACTCCATTGAACCAGATATCAAAGTTAATCGAGTCCAAGACCTCTTTCTGATCCGCAAAGTATTTATAGAGATGATCTTTCCACTGCCAACTATCGATTGCTTGATGAGCAAAGGTTTTCAGATAATCCTTGAGGTATGCCTCAAAAACTTCACTTCCTCCAAGTTTCTGTTCCAAATAGAAGAGCAAAGCAGATCCCTTTTCATATGGGACACACGAAAATGCAACATCTGGATCCACATTCGTATGATCTTGAAT